GTATATATATTTGCATGTATATATACATATACATATACATGTACATATACATGTACATATACATGTACATATACATGTACATATACATGTACATATACATGTACATATACATGTACATATACATGTACATATACATGTACAAAAAACTATATTCATGTACATATACATGTACATGAACATATACATGTACAAAAACTCAAAGCACCAGCAATCCAACTACCCACCACATAAGTACACACCCCAGCTACAGACAAGCACACACACCCACATCCACACCCACATCCACACTCACACCCATAACTATCCCACACTCCCACCCCCATCGCTTACCAATGGGTGGGGTAGGCCCCGGAATGGGGTGTGCGTTGGGGCTGGTCACATTGAGGGCACTCTGTGATCCGCTGCTGTTGAGGGTGAACGTGTTGTCCCGAGCGGAATCAAAGTAAGGCTTCTGCTTAACCTGAGACTGTCGTCTCCGCTCCCACCGCTCTTCTTGTCTCGTGTTCCTGGCCACGCTGCAGGGGGTTGTGGTTAGGGTTTTAGGGTTTTAGGGTGGATGGCGATAGGGGATGGAGGGTGTAGATGGGTGGGTTCATGCGCATGCGGAGGATTGGCACAGATTCAGGTATGTGTGAATGTAAGACTGACTGGTGAAGGTATAGTCGGGAACCTGTAATTATCTTTACATATGTCCCGGTGTATTGAAGCATCTTAAACTATCTCCAGATATCTTTGTCACCAAATATCAACAAATATATTTAAAGATCTTCAGATATCTCCCAATATATTCTATTATCTTCCCATATCTCTTTATATTGGACGATCTCCAAATATATTAGGATATCTCCAATATATTCAAAAATCTCCATATAAATTGAGATATCTCCAAAATATTCAAAAATCTCCATATATTTTGAGATATCTCCAAATAAATTCAAATATCTCCAAAAATATTCAGTTATCTCAAATGTATTCAAATATCACAAATGTGTTCAAATATCTCTGAATATATTCCGTCATCTCCAAATATATTCACATACCTCCAAATATATTCAAATATCTCAAAATATATTCAGATCCCAAATGTATTCAAATATTTCCAAATATATTAAGATGCATCCCAAATATATTCAGATATCTCCGTATATATTGAGATATCTCCAAATACATCCAGATATCTACAAACACCCCCCCAACATATTCAGATATCTTCCCATATTTCCAAATATATTCACATAACTTCACCTATCCTAATACCTTCAACTCCCTTCACCTACCTAGTGCCACTCTCGTCGTCCATCGGCGGTTTGCGGTTGAGATCAAAACTGGGGAAGATGCGATCCATCATGGACGTATTGGCTATTGCACTGTGGGTGAACTTGCCCACTGGATTCTTGATTATACCTACACAACAGTTATTTATAGAACATGATCGAGTCAGGCTATATATAGATCGGTCTCAGGTTGGGTTGGTTATAAAGAAAGTTGAAAAAGCACAAACACAATCGGGAGTCTGAATGGTTATAGAGCATTTCCAATGATACTACATAATCAAGAGTAAAATTATATGTATATATATATATATATATATATATGTATATTTAATATATATATATGTATATATATATATATATATATATATATATATATATATATATATATAGTATATATATATAGTACTATATAATAACT